CTTTTTGGTTGTGGCACCTGGTGTGCCTGGTACCTACTTTGTATTCTTTTCAGCACCAGGCAAATTCCTTTTTATTTTAATAGTTCAACTTTTTAACTTTGTTTTTGTATGTTCCATTTTATTCTGTCCTGCTTCTATGCTTCTGTACTGAGTCATAGCAATTGCAATTGCTATTATGGTCTTATTCTTATAAGGTGAGTGTCTTTTTAACTTATTTTTAATTTTAACTTTTTCTAACCACCCAGAGAGCCTCACTATTGGGCAGTATAAAAATGAAACAAACAGACAAACAAATGATCCTATCCTCAGTGATGTAACTAAAAAGGTCAGGGTACAGCAGTAACTTTTTTACCACATTCATTATTATCAGGAGTGACTAAGCCTCATCTGGATGCTCAAAAGTGTATCTGTATCAACAGCAGTCTAACAAAGTTCCATCAGCCTCCACTGAGGGCTGTGTCCACTTGTGGTTCTTTTAGTGGATAAATGAACCATGAAAGAATCTGCTTTCCACCAGTAACAACCTCGTGCCATTGGCATCATAGTTTGGCTCATGACTACAGACCTTACAGTCAGGCAGCTTCCTTTTCTGCATTCAGACATCTACTAAAAACATTTCTTTTTCATAATTACTTTGGTAAGTAGGGGGAATTGGTTTTTCTGTGGTTGATTTTATAGGTCTATTGATGCTAAGTGCTATGTTAAAAGAAATAGTTTTTAGTCACCAGACACTTTGCACTTAGGGGTGTTTTTAAACTATTTTATGTGATTTTATTATCATGTGATGCCTTTTTTTTATTGATTTGTTGTTTTTGTATTGATTTGCTTTATTCTTATTGTTTTATCCTAATTTTTAATGTAATATAATATAATGCAAGCTGCCCAGACAGCCTCACAGCTATGGGATGTGGCATACAAATGCAATGAATGAATGAATGTTGTGGCAGCGACGGTCTTCATGTTCTGATGTTAGTGTCAGCATTCTCACGGTATTGCCTGAAACAGTGCAAGACCCCACAGTGTCCATTGGACACACACAGCAATCAATGCCCGTGCTGTGTGCAAGGACAGCTGTGCAAGACTGCTCCCAAGGCTTGGAAAAGCTCAGAGCCATACACAGACTTAGAGGCTTTTGTCCTCTGGCACATTCACAGCAAGATCTCAGAAAAACTCTTAACTTTGGAGTAACCAGTGGAAATCAGGTCCTCCTAACCATGTAGCAGGCCCCCTGCCATATTTGTTATATGAGTAGGTGTGAGCTGGATGGCAAAATTATTAGCCAGGTGTTCTGGCTAAACTCCAGCGCAGCTACATTGGGGAGCCCAGGAACATTGTCATGGTGCTGGCTACACTCCAGGAAACACAAAAAAGCACCAGCAAGAATTTGGAAGGGAAAACAAAGGTCACATTTGTACAGTGGGAAGGATGAATCAGAAGAGCACTAGCTACAGTCGTTACAAATCTTTCCTGTCTTTCCAAGACTGAACTGTGGAAAAACAAGCAAACAATTCTGTAAGGGATGTGTGCATGCGTGCTTAAATAAGAACAATGCAGAAGGAAACATACATGTCGCATTTTAAAAAGTGGCAGTGAGTCTGCCGCAAGCACGAGGACTGCGTAGTGGGGTGTGCACATGTGTGCTTTCACTTGCGCAGCCATGAGGCAGCTGAGCCAACCCTCTACCCCATCCCAGAGCTGAGGGACGTACTCTGAATCCTCGTGTTCATGGTGTTTGGATTGCTTAACCTCAGGTGTATGGGCCAAATCTGACCCATCAGTGTTCCCAGGAATGAAAGTTCCCAAATAAATATATTCCCATGTTTATATAATGTGAGCCAATTTCACACTCTTCTAAAAAGCAGTCTCTCTCTCGCTCTCTCTCTCTCTCTCTCGTTCAATAATTAGGCTTACAACTTATGACCTCATTACAATTTGAGCTGAAAGGAGTTTGTAGATCACTAAAGATCTTACGGATGTAGGTCTATATTTCCTGAAGTTTGAAGAGATGAGTAAATGGAATTCCCTTCCCTACTTTTAAGAGACTGTTGCCAAGTGAAAATTGCCAGGTGTTGAGTTTCACATATATGACCCAGTGCAATGAGCACCTGCCCAGCACATTGATCATAACAAGTGTCTCCTTGGTACAAGCATATGGAGGTAGGTAATGCTCTCGTGACAACAACTAGGACTTGATACCAACCGTTCCGCAGCATTTGAGTTTACCCACCCCTCCCTCAATTTCAGACCAGTGCAATTCTGCTTACAAACTAGTTTAGCTGAAAAGTGGGGACATATACTGGGCCCATGTCCCAACCATGTCCCCTGCTGCCTTGCCCTGTTAGATAGAAAGATGATTTAAAATTAGTCCACTGCACATTAATGTTACTTTACAAATAAAAGCAAAATGCACGTGCAAGATGAAAATATATGCTTGTAAGTCTATCAGGACAAGAACAGCATAAACATGATATTGAATGAGCAAAGTCAAGGATCATCGTTTGCCAGTACATTTTTAAATTGATTTGTGAAAATATTACAACCTTCCAGGTAATCCTGATGCTTTGCTCCTCTAGACACATTAAATGTAGGACCAGAGCGGAATCATCAGGACTGGGTGCTAGAATTGGTTGAATCAAATTTGCTCTAGCTCCCTGAAGAAAAAAATATGCAACACCATCCCCAGAAACACACAGATGGAAGCAATGGACACCCCTCTACACTGGCATTGTAACAATTGGGGCAGCACCGCATTAAACCTTGTGACTCTTGTCCTGGTGCTAATTGCTGTTGTGCATTGGGATGGCAACTGGAAAGGGGACAGACCAAATTTGGTTCAGGGATTACAGCTGTTGACTCTTAATGCAGGGTGCCTAAGCATGCAGCATATAAATGTAGGAAAAAGATTTTTCTGACCCTAACAGCACAACTGGGTAACAATGCCTCTGCAAGCAAAGTGTCAGTCCGCTGCATATTATAACACTGGGCTTTAAGGTAACCATACTGGGGAGAATGTCTACAATATGAATACAATATGGACAGATCTGGAAAGCATAAGAACCAAAGCAAGAAATTATGTACACTATCTTACCATTCTTGAAATAACTGCTGCATTGCACATCCAGGTGTGGTCAATAAATAATCCTGTTTTACTCTTTCTCATGACTCTCATAGTCCGCAGTATTTATTTATTGAATTCCACTGGTGAATTCTCCAATACACCAAATGTGAAGGCTTCAACTAAAGCAACATCAAGATGTGGCACTAAATGCATCAGAAGCCATTTTCAAATAGTCCCTTTTCTCTAAAAACAAATCTTTGTTACATCATAATCTGCAAGAAAACAATACTAAATTCTTCTACACTGGAATGTTATTTCTTTTTCTGGTTACCTAAAGAGCCTTCATGAGATCCTACAAACATGAAACCCAAATCTTTCCTACTGCAATCCAATGGGGTGGAAGGAAATAAATGAACATCTTATTCCAGACATAAAATGATTGTCGTTTTGGCTGCCTGTGCACATGTCCATCTGCTCAAGGTACCTTAGGGCATAATAATGCAAGTTTAGCCAGAAAGAGGCCTACAACTCCCAGCATGCCCCAGGCAGCATAGAACTGTATCTCTAAGGTTCTGTCAAAAGTTTTGCCCGCAGTGCCATCACTTAAACATAGCCTAAAATGTTTGCTTTTTCCTCCCATGGTACTAGATCACCTTTGTAACCCAAGTGTTAAGTTATACAATCGGGGCAGATATACTTCAAGTGACGATTGAAGAGGCAGCAGGTACAAGCCAAGGTACCACAGCATGTACAGATTTGAACAGGGGACCAATAAAGGCAGGCCCTGTGGCACAGTGGTCCACATGTTGGACAAGGATCCAGGAGATCCAGGCTTAGTCCCCACTCAGCCATGAAGCTCACTGGGTGACTCTGGGCCAGCTGCTAATTCTCAGACTAACTTCCCTCACAGGGTTGTTGTTGTGGAGAAGAGGCAAATGCTGTACGCCAGAGGTCCTCCAACCTTTTGACCAGGGGGCCAGTTGGAAGCTGCTGGTGCTGGGCATGGGCCAGAAAGGTGGTGCCTGGTCGTGTCCACGGGCTGGCAAGGGGGTGGGGGTGGTGCGTGCGGGCACGCGTGGTGAGCGGGGACAAGAGGCAGCAGCTTGCTCGCTTGGAGACTGTTTTCTCCAAGCGAGCAAACTGCTGCCTCCCCGCACATGGGGCAAGGCGGCAGGCGCACACTTGGCGGGTCCGAATGGGCATGACGGGCCGAATCCGGCCCCCCGGCTGTAGTTTGAGGACCCATGCTGTACGCTGTCCTGCTATCCTTGCAAGAGGATGGAAAGCAGGGCATAAAATGTAATGGAGTACAAAGCTCAAGGAATACCAACAAATCTCCAGTCTTATTAAGGAGGAATGTATAGATTCTTTCTTCATCAACATTCATCAAAATACAGCAGAGACTTATGAGGTGTGGAAAATTAAGCAAGTTTTTTTTTTTAATGAAACTAGTAAAAGATTATTAGAAATCCCAGCAATAGGAAAAACTGCAGAAGAACCAGAAAGCAGACTAGAAACTGAGAATGCTGGAATCTGCAGGTTTTGAGGGAAGCGTTGGGCCATGTAAGTGAATGAAACAGCGCTTGGCTAGTTTTGACAGATGTTCACAATTCTGGAATACTCCAGCAAAACTTATCCTCCCCCACCATTTCAAATCGAAGTACAAATCCAGCTGGACACAGAACTAGCTATCAGTATGCATCTCCTTTCTGGATAATGTGCATTAGTAGAATGAGTTCTATTTTCATTTTGCATCAGTTTCAGATGGTGTATTACACACAATTAAAAGATAGTTACATCTTCTGACACTTTATACAATGCATAAAAACACAGTTAAAAAACCATTCTAAAAGCCTGAAAACAGTATTTTACTAAACCTTAAACCGGAGGCCGATTTCACTTGGCATGTTTTCTTTTAATACACTAAAATAAACCATTTTCATGAGGCATGAGCTTTATATAATATTTAATTTGTGACACTGCAATCATATTAAAGCCTGTTAATTAGATTGTATCATACATCAGCAACAAAGTCACATGGCTGTGCCCATTCTGTTTGTTTGCATCAGGCGTTCGGCTTATGTCAAAAGCAAAATCATTTCTGAAATTATCAATGAGAAAATCTGCCGTTGTTCCTTTTGGGGATATTGTCGGGGAAGGGTGTTGCTGGTGTTGACCTATATTTATCAGCATTACCAGGTTGTCTCAGTGCCTAAGTAGGGCTTGCTTTGCTGGATGTGTTGCTCAGTTACTCCCAGGTAACCCAGTTGTCCTCCTTCTAGATTAGCATGTTCAGCAAGCAAAACAATGGCTCAGCATCTGGTTGCCCCACTCCCATTTGTAGATAAACAGGCTTGGTAAAAGTTGCTAGGCTAGGAAAATGCTCCTCATTGATTATCAGTACCTTTAGTGTGAAAAGCAAAATGTTAACACAAATCTGACTGCTAAAATACTTTGCATGCTTATAAATTTAATCTGGCCTAGAAAACTGCTTGTCTAAATATCAAGCTATGGTATTTGATTCTTGTTTTGCTTTGCTTTGTTCTGGCCTTCTTTTGCTATGGCCTTCTTGAGCAATGTGGTCTCCCTCCAGTGGCAAAAATGGATGTAATTATATTCCCTCTCCTCTCAACCAAAGACTTGTCGGACTAATCTTCAACAGCTAAAAATAGCACTACTGTGCATTGGTGGCAGAAGGAAAGCCTAGTGCTTCATATGTACCATCTTGTTACCCTGGTATAACAGGAAGTCCTCATACCAACATCCAAACCTTTTTCTCTGTGTGCCACGACAAAGACCTCTCTAAAGAGGGGATGAAAACACCCAGAGTCTGACCAACTTTTGACCAGAAGTAAACCCTATAGGCCTGGGGACCCGGGTCCCTTAAGGACCACTTTCTTCCATGTGCCTGTTCCCACAAGCTCTGATCATCACCTGTGGCCCTAGTTCTGATTCCCTGGCCTTATGAAGCTAGGCAGATGACCACAAGGTCTTCAGGCTTCCTTGTGGCTATGCTTTTGCTGTGCAATGCTCTGCCAACAGAGGTTCATCAAGCACAAATACTGCACTGCTGCAGACAATATATAAAAACTTGGCTCTTTAAGAAGGAATTTTGTTTAATGTTTCATTAGCCCTTAATTGGTCTTCCTAAGAAGAGTTCATAGTGTCGTTGTTTATTAATTTGGGTTATTATTTTAAATATTGCTGATCTTGTCTAATTACCACCTGAAATTCCCTCCTCAGACAATATAAACCTCATTATTATTAATAATAGCAACTACTCAATAAAAAGTTATTATAATACATGGTAGAACACCATATTATAAGTAAATAGAAAGTGCTGCCAGTTCAGGAGCCATTAAAGCAATGAAGAAAGACCCCTTGATTGCAAATAGCACATGCAAGTGTTGACAAAGCAGAAAACTCAAGGCCCATTTTATGCTTGCTATTGTGTGTGTGTGTGTGTGTGTGTGTGTGTGAGAGAGAGAGAGAGAGAGAGAGGGAGAGGGAGAGGGAGAGGGAGAGGGAGAGGGAGAGAAACAGACAGACACAGAAAGAGAGAGACAGAGACAGGGATCATTTCTAAGTCCTTGTTCAATGGTGCAGCCTTATGACATGCCAGTGGAGACAGTCAGTGTGACTTGGCATACTGTTCTCATGCCAATCACTTGTCAGATCAAACATCATCAAATATCCCATGAAGCCATAATGCTGATTTTCATGCATGCATGCATTCATTCATTCATTCTATATATACCACTAAGCATGTTCAAAAATCTCTCTAAGTAGTCAATGGTGCTTAAAGAACTGGCCTGCTAGATACTTAACACAATTACCCTTAAAAGTTTTAGTTTAAACAAATAGTTGCTGCTATTCAAGTTTTTAAAAAGAGAGAAAAGGAATGTTCAGCAAATCATATGGTTATGGAAATCTTACCTGAAATTGGCAGCTTTCAGATGATCCTCCAAACTACGGATTTGATGATGAGGATGTCTCTTTATTATTAGCATAATAAACATGAAAAACACTGCTATTAGAAGTATTTTTAAGTATTTAAAAAACTGTATAGGGAAACGAACTGGTTGGTACACATCAAACTTTCATGCTACTACAAATAAGCTTTAAGCTGCCATTAGGTCTTTGTCTCTGAAATTAAATGAAAAATTTTAATTATATACATTAATTTGTTTTTAAAGAGAAAAAGATTTATTTAACATCTACATTTCCTTTGTTATACCAGCACTAACACCTCTTGATGTTAACAGTCATAACCTTCTGACCTAGAGTTGTGTCCAGCCAAGTATTTGCTTGGAAACAACTTAGTCAAGCATTGTGGCCACATACCAGTAATATCCAATATGGGTAAAACTGAATAATAGACTTGAGGTGTTCACCCTGCTGTAAGCTTTAGGCTCAACTCAAGTGCTTGAAAGTGTCCTAGACCATCCAAAAGCACAAGCAGCACTTCGATCAAAACTAGAAAATTCAGTTGATCATGCTGAACTTCCCAAGGACTTTATTCCCATGCTTTATTAATACCTCCTCAAGGTTCATCATCATAAAATGCACATCCATATTTCGCTTAGCAACTTCTTCTGCCTGTCTTGCTTCCTTCTTCCCTCATCCCTTCCCCCATGATCAACTTGGTGAGTCCATCCTTCAGTGCTCCATTCCAATGTCTTCAGCACAACCTCTTTGAATCCAGGCCTCTTGCCTGTAAAAGTAACCACCCACACTCTCATTCCTAGATTTACAACACTAAGGAGAAAAGGGGAATCAGAGATAAGACATTTCCGACAAATTTTGAACAAAGCCAGTGGAAGGAGAAGGTTACATTGAGTGATTTAGAACAAGAACCTCTTAGCAGATTTCTAACGGTATTTCAAACAACAGATACCCAGACTGCGAAGGTTGGGAGAAAGTTCACTAAAGGAAGGGAAAGAAAGTTCAGCAAGGGTACAGATAGCAGAGAATTCTGGGATGAACCAAACTAACTCTAACCATTCATTGGGCCTGATACAGTGAGACTACAATTGGCAGTGTTATACATCTAAAGTGATGAGAAAGAATCATGGGGATAAGGATCAGAAATTATTAATATACTGAGGCATGCCCTAGAATTTCTGAAGATCAGTCTATGCTTAGAGACTACAGCCAACCTTTGACTGCCTGGATCACAAGAACCTATGAATGGTCCTGAAAGAAATGGGTGTGCCACACCACTTGATTGTTCTAATGTGTAACCTGTACTGTGGACAGAAGCTACTTCTAGGTTTAAATGCGGAGAAACAGGCCATATTTGCATATAATGGGAAGCCATGGCAGGGATGGCTTGTCATTATACATGAGTACCAGACGCAAGGTGAAATATGGCATATTTGGTTACCATGAATCACCAAGGAGAACCAATGGTTTGTTCCAAGGTTTCCACATTTCAGTATTGCTTCTCATTATGTGTGAAGCCAATTAGTGTTTTCCCATGGTTTCCATTTTGGCCCACAAGGTTGGTGGCAAAAGTGCTCACAGCATCTGCCATTTCCCACTGCCCTGTTTGCCTAGCAATGGCCGAGTTGCCGGCAGACAGAATGGTGACTGGCTGCCCTTGCTTCATGCCCCCCACGCCTGGGTGCATGCCTGCTTTCCCTCTGCCCCTCTCACATGGGGCTGTCCTGTCTTGTGGAACTTGACCCTGAAGCAAAAAAGGCAGGACTGGGTCTGCTGTATGTACTTCTGGCACATCAAAAGAAGGCAAGACTCACTGAAGACAATCATGCTAGGGAAAGTCAAAGGCGGAAGAAGGGGAAAACCAAATATGAAATGAATCAATTCCATAAAGGAAGCCACAGCTTTGAACTTGGAATTGCTGAGTAGGACTATCGAAGACAGGACATTTTGGAGGATATTCATCCATAAGGCTGCCCTAAGTCGGAGATGACTTGCTGGCATGGAACAACAACAGGAGGGATACATGGGAATTAGGGGCAGTCAATATTTGGCCTGTGACTACTGGACCAGATACAATCTGCTGCAAGTGCAGGGATATAATCAGCAGTGGCACAGTTTATTGTAGAGTGTACACAACCTGCTCAGTTAGGAATTCAGTTTCATATAGCTCACCTTTGAAAATCTTCACAGCCACAATGCTTTTCAATAAAACAGACAACCCTGCATATCTTTTGTCTGAAATCCATCCTATTGAACTAAGAGTGCATATACTTGCTGCCTAAGAAATGAACATTCTTGTCCACTCATCCATTAAATGATATGTGCCAAGGCTAGATTTAGGTCCTATACATTTTCTACAAAACGTATTGCTTAGGGTGCATTCCAGTACAAGTGAAATATTGCCTCCCGCTCCCCCCCCCCCCGCCCTGCCACAGCCTGCCTGGCATAGTGGCACATCTCACACTGGCAACCAGCATGGTTTGGTTATACTATGTTCTTGCAGCCCTCTGGAGGTCTCTGATGCTAGTTCTTCGTCTTCAGCAAGAGTTTGTTTTGAAATAAGATTTGCCAGATGCTAGGCTGTGACCCCAGTCTTTCTAAAGGGATGCAAGGCAGGGGTCATTTAAATAGCCAGTCAGCTGTAGGGGACAGACGTTACCGCGTTGGACAAACTCTGAAGGCAGCAGCCCAATCTATTTGTGTGTTGGTACTAAATAGAACCGTGTGCTGGGAGAGCAGCAGCGCTATCGGATCTTGCCTTTAGTTTCCTGCCTTTCCAAGCATCGATACTGGGGTTTCTGCGGGCTAAAAAGAACAAGGGCTTGAACGTCGAAGGAGACGAAAGCTGGAAAGGGTAGGATTCAAGCGCATGTCAGTCGAATCATCTATAGTGTGCATGAACCGATAGACAAATCAACTGTATGTCGCGACATGCTTCTCTGTGCTTTTCCACCGCAAAATCCCCAGTCATGATAGGTCTTTTTCTCTCGCCCCCCCCATGTGCAAAGTGGGCGGAACGTATGCGATCTCTCCCTCTGTGCAGATTAGGTAACACACAAGATGGACGGAGCACAAGCCGAGGAAAACCTCGCAAGCAGCCGCGCAGTTACCTTGCCAGGGAAAAGCATTCGTTTCGGCTCTCACGCGGCAAGATGAGCCTGGGAGAAAGGCGGGGTTAGCGAGTACCCCCACTGCCTCATTGGCTCTTCTTTCTATTTGATTTGCATGTCTCCGAGCTTTCTTTTATGCATTTGCCCCTACCACGTGATCGGAGAGGCGGACGAGACTTCCTGTTTGAGGTCAGGGAGGGGAGGGAGCCATTCTCGCGTCTCCCTCCCTCCCTCCCTCCACCCTCTCTCTCGCCCGCCCGCCCTCCCTCCTTCCTTCCCTCTCTCTCTCCCTCCCCCCGTTGTGGTCTCGCGCTGCCTGCCTGGCGGGGCTCTTGTCAGTTAGTAACAAAATGGCTGCGGTGGCAGCAGCTCTGCTCTTGAAGCGGAGGACCGAGGCGGCGGTGGCGGCTGTAAGGAGGAGCGGGGGGCCGGCCCGGCAGCATCACTGAGCCCGGCGGCATTGCCTCTCCCGCCAGCGGCCCAACCCCCTTCCCCTTCAAGCGAAAGCTCCGTCCGAGGAGCCGTTCCTGCTGCCGCTGCATCCATAAATCCCCCTCATCCCCCTAGAGAGCCTCTCTCGGGTCCCTGTGGAGGGGAAGGAGAGAGAGCGAGCGAGCGAGTGGCTGCCGGATTCTGCTCCTCATTGGGTGGATCCCACTGGGAGAGAGAGACTGACCGACCTCCATATGAGAAACTCAGCTGCTGGATCGCCCTCGGATCTGTGGATCCCCTCCCCGTGAGAAAGAAAGAGACTGGATTTCGCCTTTACTGGATCCACCTATGTTTGGCTTAGCTGGGTGGATTCCCATGAGAGAGACTGGTGGACCCCCTCCTCGGCACGACGCCTATCTTCAGGATCCTTTTAGGATCCCTGTGTATGAGAGAGACTGCTGGAGTTCCCTCTCTTCGATCCACATATGAAAGGCACAGCTGGTGGATTTCCCTGGCATCTGTGGATCCTTGCCTTCTGAGACACTGCCTGGTTTCTTCTCCCCGTTGGATCTTCCTGAGAAAGACTGCTAGATCCTTTTTCTGCTTGTGCTCCTTGTCTCTCCTCTCTTTTTAGAAAGGCTCGACTGGGTACATCTGTTTGGATCCCGATGTGAGACTCTTCTGGATCCCCCGTGACTCCTTTTTGTTTTTCCTGAGCTATTCCCGCTTAAACTTTTGGATGGGTTCAGTTTTCTTCATTTTAATTTGCACTTTCAAAAATAATATTCAGACGCTCATCCAGATAAACTGAGAATCTCCTAACATATTTTAAAAAGCCGTGTTCTGATCAATTACAAAACATAACGTTTTTCACTTTCTTGCATCCCCACAGTACATTTTTTGCTGCAACTACGTACCTTTAATTTTAAAAAACAAAATTCTGTGTGCAAAACTCTAGCTGGGAACTCATAACTGCTAGTTTTGCTTCACTGGAAATAAAAATAATACTCTTGTTTTGGAATTGGACCTGCATCTGCTGCACTTACTCCTCCTCTGGGCTGGAATCGAACTGGAGCGTTTAGCTCTTCTACTTGGATACTGTTGAGTTCTTGTTTAATTTCCCCATCCCCCTCCCTCCTCCTTTGTGGCAGGTTATTTTTGGTGATTTTTTAAAATTGGAACGGGCATAAATTAAAAAAAACAAACAAACAAAAAAACTGACTCGGCCGTGTGAGATTTTTTTCGTATTCAACGTGAAAAAATACGGGTACTTTTTGTAAGAAAAAGCATTAAAGAAAGAAAGGAGCACGCTAGTGAAACTCCCAGACGCCAGACAAAATATTCACTTGTTCTTTTTCAAGGAGACTGAGTCGCAAGCTGCCAAAGAGCCCCAGAAAGAAACGAAGCAAAGGTAAGAGGAGGGCCATTCCCTTCTCTTGATACGGAAGCGGGGAAATTAAAAAAAGAAAGAAAAAGAAGACCCTTTAAGTAGTAAAGCGCGAGCAATTACTTGTGCTGTAGATCCAGATGTGGTCGGTTTATTGTATTTTTGTCCTATTTCATGATGTAGTCATTAAAGTAATAAATCTATGACGTATTTTACCAGAGTAAGCCATACTATTTGGAAGCTAAAATATCATTGGGCGATAGCTTTCAATACTTTTTCTCGAACACGTTTTCCATTTAGTTACTTGTCACTAAAACAATTCCAAAAAAGCAAATGTCCTTCATATTAAAATATATTGAGGAAATGAAAATTTATGGAAAAGGATGAACCCTAAATTATATTAGTGTGTGCATGCTATTGATAGCGTCTCTCATTACCATGTGATGTAATGTTTGGAAAATAGTGATAATTAGTCTTGGCAATTTGTCTTGGTTTAAGTGTGGCTAGAATGGAAAAGCTAATGAATGTAACCAAGTGGACAAAACTTGAACTTCATCCTTGATTACCTGCAGTCAAATATAAAAAGATAACTGGATCATTCTTGTAGCATTGTTTTAGAATGCAGTTTTCCCTGGCATCTGTATTATTTCTTTGTTTGGTGGAATAGTTTTTTTTTTTAATGAGGTCAGATCTCTTCATCCCCACCCCCTTCATTGTAACTATGACTAAATGGAACAAAGCAAGAATTACTAAAATATTGGCAGCAAAGTAGGATTTCCATCTGTGCAAAATTCTGCCAATTTAAGTTTATTAAAAGTATTTGAAAAATCCTCTTTTAATTGTGTTGAAGTCCAGCCTTCTAGAAGTGCAGTTCATGTGCTGAAAACAATTTGTGAGGCTTTCTCAAAAATAAAGAATATATTTTATAGAGTATTTAAGATAGAATGTGTTAATTTTACATTTAATAAACATTGTTCTTTGCTTTTAGTTTGCAATCCGCTAGGAGACTTTTCACTACTTAAGAGCCATGTGTGCAGTAGCAAACAAAACAATATTTGTATAGTAATCTTTGCACATGTTTCTCATATCAACTGATTCTTATGCACTGACATCTAGGATAAAGGAAAACACATATAAGGAATGACGATTAAGATATCTATATTTAAAAGTTTATGGAAATACGTTGCCATTCTTACAGCAAAGCCAAGATCAGTTATGGCTTGATCTTCTATATTTTGTGTGGCTTTCAAGTAATTATTTAATTTCCCTCCATCCTAATAGAGAAGAGTTGAACAATTTCATGTCATGATTTTTAAAATGACCAGTTATTGAATTTCTGGTCATCATCTGTGTTGTTGACGCCCCCTTCCCTTTAGCTTTTCTGTCTATTAATACCCAGTTGAGAACTTTGATCACAAAACAATATTTAATGTTACCTTCACAGCTAGTCTATTAGTTATTCTATCTGATAAAAAAACTGCAAACGTAATTTTCTTTTCTGTACAAGTACCTTAGTAGACTTACTAAATACTTTCCCATAAATACTTTTTGGAGAAAAGGTGGAGGATGTTACTGTCTCTAAAGGCTTATGTGCATATTGTAGTTTTTAGTTTGTCATGTTATAATTATTAAGTACTTTTTTGGTCTTTTTCATAGTTTGGTGTCTCCGGGCATTTAACAGGCTATGATGCTCCTCTCCTCTTTTCACTTGGAAACTGTCCAGATATAAGGCAGATTATGAAAGAGAGATGTATTATGAAAGAGAGACTTCTAGTCATGTAGCAACCACAATAATTATGAGGCATTCTTAATTCCTTTTCAGTAGATGTTTTAACTGCAAAACTGATGGTGACACTAGTCAAGAATTAATCAGTTACATGAGTGGCAGAACCCTTGAAGGTAGAGGTTTCAGTGCAAAAGTGGAAACCCAGGTGCATTCTGTTTTCCATGATCCATTTAATTCCTATATATTCTCACAGAGAAAATGGTCAAGCTGGTAGCAACTGACCAGAGTTATGATGGATAATTCAGTGTGCAGCAACTATGAAACACATAAATACCTTTCTAGGGAATATGAAGAAAGGGATTGAAATAAAATTATCAATATTGGAATGCCGTTATATAAATTAATACACTTGGAATATTATGTAAATTTCTTATTCCCATAGCTCAGTAAGAGTATTGTAGAGAAGGAAAAGGTGTAGGGCAACCAAAATTATCATAGGAACAGCTACTCTGCCAGGAGCAATACTTGGAGCTTTTTAATTTAGAAAAAAGGTGAGGGAAGAAATTATAGAGATGTATGAAATTATGCATCATATGGCAAAAATGGATGAAGAAAAGCCTATTTTCCTTCTTATAATAAGGGTGTTATCCAATGAAGCTGACTAGTAAAAGATTCAGAACAGGGGAAAGGAAATACTTTTTCCACACAGTGCCTGCTTATATTGTGGAATTGGCTACCACATGATGTGGTGATAGCCAGTAGTGTACATAGTATAAAAGAGGATTAAACAAATTAGTGAAGGCTAAGGCTATCAAAGGCCACTAGTAATGATGGCTATGAGGCAGTGTGTCTCCCATTACTATCAGTTGCTGGGAAATGGCCATGGTGGAGGGCTGTTGCTTGTGGACTTCACACACATCTGGTTGACCATTGCGGGAAGTAGGATATTGGACTTGATAGGCCTTTGGTCTGATCCAGCTCACCTTATGTCAACAAGAGTGTAAGCCACTTCGGAAGCATTATATTACTACACACTGGATTTACCTTCTTTTCTGTTTACAGTGATGAGCTGTTGGCTCTCCAGTATCTGCATTTCTGAGTATTATGCCAATTTATTCTTCAGCTGAATAGGTGGTAAGAACAGGTACTTTCCTAAGCCATGAGCCCTGAAACAGCGTATCCGTTTTATTTTTTGAAAGTCTGTCATGGCTTTGGGAAATGGATCATGTTCTTGAATTGGTAAGGAAAATGACTACCCAGTGGGAGAGGTGAGAGACAAGAAAATGGGTCATATATTTATCTGTTGACCCAAGCCCTGATAATAACCTAATGAAATCTCTGTGTAGAAAATCCTGGTTCTGATCCTTGCATTATACTCCTTCAACAAAGCTCCTATGCCAATAGCAAAAGTGTTCTGTATTTTGAAATTCCATTGCACGCTAATATCCTGATGATCTTGAAGGCTGCTTCCTTTTACTTGTCTTAAATAGATCCTTTAATCACCTTGTATGGCCAATAGCTTTCTCTCCTTTCCGTTGCTAAGAAAGAATGGGCTGTTATAATTACTTCTGCATATTTTGATTTATTCCTGAATTTGAAGCAGATGTATGCTTTAT